TGCCATTATGTAATCGTGGAGATCATTGGTGGAATTGGTTGGTTGTATGCATCGGTATTGGAGTTGTTAGTTATTTTGGTGTTGCCTGCGGATGTTACAAGACCCGAGTTAATAATGCGTAGGGTTAAGAGTTATTTAGTACGGTAGATGAAAATAAAAGATGATTATTTTCCCACTCCTAATAAGTCCATTCCCCAATTAGGTGGCACTGATTGGGTTGAGAATGAATGGAAAGTCTGATCCCACCATTTTCCTCGTTATTGCTCGCTTTCTTGGCTGACATAGATTTCACTGATATCCGACTCTTTACGTTAGATGTACTATTGCTCGGTTTAAAATCTACATATTTATCCGGATTTTCTAAAACTTTTATTTATGTTTATCTTTTCTACTATACTTTGTTGAGTCTCGGATTTAGCTTGTAATTACATGAAATATAATAGTTCATTTTTTTATATAATTGATTTATTCTCTTTTTATAACTACAAATGTTTTATATTGTTTAAAACGCATATTTCATTATGAATGGTTGGTGGAGTTGTATAATTGTATGAGTGCCTTTAAATGCTCGCTTATTCTAATTAAATTCTATAGGAGTCTCAACTATTCCAGCCCACAAACATGATTCAATTTTTTTTATATGTATGTCGGTACACTATGCACTAAGTTGCAACTATACTCCGTACAATTATGACGTCTCACTGTCCAAGTGTTATAACTGTGTATCTTTTGGAGTCTAAATTTTATATAGTAGATTTCATGTTTAAAGTTTAAATTTTTTTAAAAAGAACATATGGGACACATCTTTAAAATGTATATAAATATTAAAAAAAGTAAAGAGAAAATAGTAAATAATGATTCAAACAATGAGTATTGGTATTCTGTTTTAATCTATCCTATATATAAAATAGCATTCATTCAGTATGATAATAAAAACAAGAATCAAATATTAAAAAACATTAAATTTGAAATAGATATAAAGACATTTCATATGTCATCAATTAATCACATATAAGTTATTAAAAAAATTAGGTAAAAAGATTAAAACTTAAAGAGTTTAAAAATAAACATTTAAAAAGTGTTTTGTACAATTTATAAATTGACTATATTTACTCTTAAAAAATAAAATAAATTTGAAAATAAAATATAAAACAATTTCTATGTCTCATTATCACATATATTTATTAAAAAAATTAGAAAAGATAAAACTTAAAATTTCAAAAAAAAATTTAAAATGTTTAATTATCAATACATATTTATTTAAAAAATAATTTTAATAAATATATCCAAGTAAGATTATTTTAGAATATTCATATTTCATAAATTGCACTTTATCAAAAATCACATTATTCTCCTATTCTCATATTTTGCCAGGCTGTATATACATTTACCACTAGATTATGTCTTGGTGTGCCTATTCTAATATTTATATATAGCATAGGTTATCAAAAACTAATCATGATAAGTAAGTTAAGTAATACAAATAATATAACAATTCCCTTCTGCTAATAAGAGTCATGAGTTTCCATCAAAAATACACTGCTGCGTTGTTATTCTTTTTTCTTCTTCTTCTCCTTCTTTCCGCAGCCTCTTCCCTTAATTTTAAACATGGGGTAAGACCTAATTAATTTACCTCTGTTATCTTTAGTTTGCTTTATGGCTAATGAAATTTTTTTTTTTTCTTTTTTCAGAGTTTGTTGTTTGAGAAGAAAGCAATATTAGATTCAACACCCCCGAGTTGCCAAGACAAGTGCCATGGATGCCAGCCATGTCGTGCGGTTCAAGTGCCTGAACCGAATCCTCCTCCAGGTCCAATTGAAAATCCAGGTTATATTGGAGATCCAGGTTATAAGCCAATCGTTTGGAAGTGTAAATGTGGTGGAAAATTTTATGGGCGTGATGCATAAATTTGCCCCTGAAATTCATATGATTTGTCTCATGGCACCTCAAATTTGTAAGACTTATCATGATCCTACACTTTGATATTTCCGTAATAACTATAACTTTCGCCAAAATAAAATGTAAAAGTCCAACTCTAACAATTCATTTTAGCGAAAGACATAATTATTATTAAAATGTTAAAGTATAGGGTCATGATAGGTCCCCACAAATTTGAGGGAGAAATTTCAAGCGCAAATCTATGCATTTGACCAAATTTTATTATAGTCAATGATCTTAGTTCTAAGGTGCCTATAATATGAAGTTAATGAAATTCTGAGGCTAAATATAATCTTAAAAACAAAAATTTAGCCTCTACGAATAATTAATTAATGTTTATTATTATTTTAAATTAATAGAATAGAATCTGGTGTGCTTGTTTTGTCTTAATTATTTTCTTGGTTGGCCCATTTTCAAGTTTCGAATTTTTTTTAAGTATTGAAGGTGGAGATTCGAACCTGAATTTATTGGCAGATCGTATATTCATTTGCCACAAATTAACAATCTCTATCAAATTAACAAAAGATAAATTCAATATCATTGTGAGTAATAATTGGATGGATTATACTTGTTTAGATTGGGTCTATCATTTCATGTATGAATCAAACCAATGAAAATAAGAATTTTTTAAAAATGATTTCTATTTTATCTTTTTTTTTTTAAACAATTTCTCTATCAAATTAACAAAATAAAATTAATTTCAATATCATTGTGGAACAGTAATTAATTGGATGGATTTATACTTGTATTACGGCTCATTGTGAGTAATAATTGGATGGATTATACTTGTTTAGATTGGGTCTATCATTTCATGTATGAATCAAACCAATGAAAATAAGAATTTTTTAAAAATGATTTCTATTTTATCTTTTTTTTTTTCAGTATAGAGTCAGAAATATTTTTGTCTCAATAAAAATTCATATTTATATTTTTGTAATCGATTAATTAATAGCTACGTAAATGTATTGAGAATTAACAAGACTTAATAGGAGGTGGTTAGCAGATGAAATCAAGTAACTACTCACACAATGCCAAATGGAAAGAAGTTACTTAAGCTATTGTTTGGACAGTTGAGATGTCATGCATGTTAAGTGATAATCGCTGGGTGCCTTATAAAGCCAAGCTTAAACATCAGAATAGCCCCCAACAATCAACTCCAAAAATCAAAATCAAGAACAATTCAACTACAATCAAATAACAATTACAATTTCAATTTTATTTATGTTTGTTGTAATTTCTTTTTCTAAGTATTTTCAATTTGTCTTTGCAATTCCAATTTTTGTCAATATAGTATTTTTAATTCAAACAATCTCATTATTTACAAAGCTTTTTGCAATCGTTATTTTTCAAGCACTATCAATTAATTTCCAGCCTTCGGTGAAGCGTTTATCATAAAGACAAACCCTTCAGTCTTATGATTAAGAAGTATAGGTATAGCAATTTTTCCTGTAGTTGATAAACTTTAATACCAGGCACGCTCAAGTTGTTAGTCAGTCGTTTATTGCTTTGATCCAATAACTTACATTATATAATTATATTATATATATATATATATTATTAACAAATTAATTTATTAATCATCGACATGTAAGGCATTCTAGTGTTCTTTCTCTTATTCGAGAACTCTTAAGCCGTTCTGGACAAACAGCGGCGGAGCTCCTTTGGGGACTAATATATATATATATATATATATAACAAATAATTTATTAATCATCGACATGTAAGGCATTCTAGTGTTCTTTCTCTTATTCGAGAACTCTTAAGCCGTTCTGGACAACAGGGGCGGAGCTCCCTTGGGGACTAAGGGGGCCGTGCGCCTCCAAATTTTTTTTTTTTTTTTAAATTTTATGAAAATGATGTTTTAATCCTTAAAAATATTAAAAAAAATTACATTTAGCCTCCCTGAAAGTTTAAAAAAATTACATTTATATCTTCCAAAATAATTGTTCTAGTTCCGCTCTGCTTGACAAACCAAGCTTTGTAAATAATATATAATGTAAAATACAGATCAAGCTTTCTCTTAAGAGTAGTCTCGTAACAAATAAAGAATGTATAATATAAAATATATATTTAGTGCAATTAATTGAAAAATATTGCAATACAAGATAGCCAAATACCTAAAATTCTTATAAAGAATGTCCCTAAATATATTTAAACAATATATAATATAGAAAACATATATTAATATTATTATATACATAATAGAGAAAGTGAAAAATTGACAAAGGAAGGGAAAATAATGGAAGGAAAGAACTAGGTTCCCCACTACAAGGAACATAAATTCCTATTTAGGGTAAAATCCAAGCAAGTAGTCAACTCATCCATCCCCCACCCACCTTACAATAATAATTGTTCTTCATCTTCGCTTTTATTTTATTTATTTATTGAAAAATTTTCCTTCAACATCTCTATAATTAGATTTTTAAATACTATTAAAAACTATAAATAGAAAAATGATGGTCGTAATTATTGAAGTGTATTGATATATTTATAATTAGTATTATGTATAATAATAAATTAAAATACATAATGTGCGACTCTTCATCTAATTAAAATTAAATTTATTGTGGAACATGACCTTTTGATATCATATTGAATACTTGCTTTACCGGTTTCACCTCTTTGGCCTTCCTGCTTTCATGGTCGTGGTCTAAAGAGAAGATCCTCTTCTATTGGCTTTAAAATATCTCTAACTGCAATGCAACGCTAAGGGAAACACTTGAATGATATGACAATACATAACTTAATATTTACGAAACAATAATATTAATCAATATTTATTGAATTAAATTAATGCTAAAAATAAACATCATTAAAATATTTATTTTAAATTAATAAATATTAATTGAATTTAGTTAAAAAAAATTTATATAATTGATATGGCTAAACTTATTAAAAAAAAAAAAAGTAATTATGTTATGATATTATGGGCTGGTTATATAAAAATAACATATATGCACATTGAGAAAACATCCATAAACAAATTAGCATGAATCTTATTTACACTGAAACTTAAATCTCACATCCATATTTTCGAAATTATACACACAAAAAAGAGAGAATTGAGAAAACCCAATTTATTTAATACATTGGAAAAATGATACATGATAAAGACAAGCACTTCAACCATGTCCGAAAATCCTGAAGAAAAATACGTCACATGTACTTAAGACCATACTTCAACACTTGTGCATCATTGAACTCAATAGTAAATGTCAATTTTTGTTCCTCAATGCAGAAAGATCAATACCAGTACTTCATTTTTCTATTAAAGACGCCTGGTCCATATGTAGAAATGAAAATCTCAACGAGAAGGGGAAATTGTAATAATATAAAAAGGGTAACAGGTATACTAGCCAAAAGAGTGATTGGAAGGACAAGTTTTAATTCTCTTTGTAGCACTATCATAAGAATCGAGCAAAAGGCTACCATCATAGTTGAAATTGAAAGGAAGAGAGCAGAAAGACCAATAATCAACTTTGTAGGCAAAGATTTGAGAAAATCATCTTCTGAATAGCGCGATGTAAGGACTCCTAAGAACATCAATACTGATGTTGAGAAGGCAAAAAGAGAAATTGTATCAGATATTATAAATATTGTAAATTCTATTTGATGTGAAAATATTGGATCACCAGTTTCTTGATCATTGCTTTCAACGGTAACTGCGAATGATGCACTGAACATTAGAGTAATGATGAGAGCACCTACGACTGTGCAAGATGTTGCTTTTTCCTTCATCCATTTCTCTCCATCTATCACCAATTGTTGATGGGTTTCAGAAAATATCTTATTAGCATTGTCACCATCTATGTTGGTGTATTCTTTAGACAAAGGATCCACAATACTTTCTACTTCCTGCATTGAAAGCAATGATCTAAGTGGAATTAATGTTTAAAAAACACTTATGATAAAAAGGATCCACAATACTTTCTACTTCCTGCATTGAAAGCAATGATCTAAGTGGAATTAATGTTTAAAAAACACTTATGATAATAAGTTCCCACCCTAATATTTATTTGAAAATATCTATATCACATAAAAATTAAATTTTATGTTGTTAAACATAATTTTCAAAGAAATATTATTGAAAATTTTTAAACTTCAAAATTAATTTGACACATATACACACGTTGAAATAGATAAGTATTTCAAACTATTTAGCGTGATTAAATCATAAAATAATAGATCAAAATTTTGCCATGTACCCAACAAAAAGACTCTCGAAAACCAAAAGTTGTAAAGGATAGGAAAACATGATTTCATATTCAAAACCTTAATTGTTTAGATGATTGATTTTAATTCAGAATAGATCCTTTTAACTATATAGTCTTCTTCAAATGAATCAAATGACTTTATGCTTATTACCTATAATACAATGGATCTTCAATAAAAAAAACAAGTACAAAGTGTACTAAGAGATATTACTCAAATAAAAGGCATGAGAACTTGATCTTGTTGATGTGAACACAAAATACACATAGCCTTGTGCTATTTCCACAGGTTTTATAGTATTCTAATAGCTATTTTTTATATTTTAGGCCTTCATTTTGATGGATTTCTTTATTGGATATCTCTTTATTGGGTATTCACAGGCCTTGTGCTATTGTCTTAATCTTTTTATTTAGGTGAAAAATGGTGCTAAAAGGTAAGGAAAAGCCTAAAAAAGTAGCTGATCTTCCGTGACGTACAATCTCTCAATCCATATGGTCGTCGCACGAATGCCCATGCACATGGGCGTAGAAGATGTAGATCCCTAAGTTACCTACCACACAATTGTCTATAAGGGTGTATAAACACACTCCAAAAGTAAACTATTAATAAAATTATCATTCATTAAGTTGTTCGTGAGCACTAGAGAGACATAGATTCAAATAACTATTTGAATACACTCCAAAAGTAAACTATTAATAAAATTATCATTCATTAAGTTGTTCGTGAGCACTAGAGAGACATAGATTCAAATAACTATTTGAATACTCTTGTGAGTAGGCATTCTAGCCTAGATGAAGTAGGCCCAAGCCCTGAATACATGGCTAAGCAAACACTCGTTGCCCTTAACCATGTAAGAGGTGCTTGAGATCTTGCTAAGGAACAATAAAGGTGAGGTAAAGTGTTTATTTTTTCAATTAGCTGGCATTATTGACTCTAATGAAGCTGAACCAAGATCAATTTCCAGGGTTCTAGAATTATTTTCTCAATCTCATTTCAATCTCTCACCTTTAATTATTGAATTTGATTCAAAATCTGCCGTGTGTTGAATTTGAAATAAAGAAAAAAGACCTTGGAGGTAGAGATTATTGTTCAATATATTTGATAGCTTATGTAGATATTTATGTTCGATTCAATTCTTATATATATATGTAGAGAACATAATTATTTTGAAGATTCATTGGCTAAAAAGGGAGTTGAAACACATGGAGATTTCCTTGCTTGGTTATAATACTAGAAAGAATAATGTGGAAATCTTTTCGACTACAATTTCTCAATATGTTTGATTGTGAAGACACTTTGCTGTAGCTAGATTGTACCTACATCGAGTTTTGTATTTTTTTATTATTATGACAATTTAGTTATTAGTTGTGTTAAGAGTTTTGATTAGTTTCTGATGTTTTCCAATTTGGTGTTTATGATATTTTGACCAGGTTTTTCTACTTAAGTTATCAAGGTTAAGATGACTGTAAATGGGAGACTTAATGACTTAGGATAATACTTAGATAAAATAAGTTTTTTCTGGATAATATAATTTAATAAAAATTATTTTGCTGATAAAGAAAAAGAGGTACTTGAGATCTAGTGATGCAAATAACCAATAAGACAGCCAAAACAATAGTATAGGATTAGAATAAAGAACTATTAGCAGACTTAAAATGATTTACTAATCGTCATTCATCGAGCCACTTATCCCAACCTAAAATATTTTAGAAACCTTAAAGATTGCTTAAATACTTATGCATGTACACATGCATCATTAAAACATGAGGACAAGCATTGAATTTCATGTTAATTCTTATATATCCAACTCAGCTCTTGATTTACATAAGGAAAAAGAAAGAGAATAATTGATAGACTACCCTTTATGCATCACATCAAACAGAGGAACCTTTAACCTAAAAGATAACAAAAGAAGAAGAGCAATACTCCTATACCTAGACGAACTTCACCAACTTTATTATATGAGATATAATAGCTCTAAATCATTACTTGAGTTTTCTTTCACCCTTCTCTTTCCATTTTATATTGTATTTATCTAGGTTTTCTATAGGTTTCTTGTTTATATCATAGGTTCTTGTGAATATTATTATGAGCTTTAAGGCCTCTTATCTCTCTATAAATATCTACACGTATAATAGGAGAAGGCATAAAAAACATTGGAAACCTTTTCTCCTATAAAATTTGCCTTGTATCTTTGTAATCCTTGATAGAATAGAAGGATTGTACGAAGAAGTTAGGAAGTGTGAAGTTAAGATAATAGAGTGTGAAGAGCAAATTGCCAAGATATGTCTTGCTTCTAATAAACTCAAGTTTGTTGTAAGATTAATATTATTTTATTAAGTCATATATTGAATCTACTGTGCGGAAGTTATGTTTAATTAATCTTACCAACCTAGTTGAAATAAGAAGATTTAGACAAGAATTAGTTGAAACTGGTAATGAAATCTTTAAAACTCACTTAGAAACATATAACTTCCACTATGACTGTCGTGAGTCTGAAAGAACTTTAGGATTGTTTAATACAATAATAAGATACTTAAACCAGCTGCTTCATTCATAGCATCTTAGAGTTTCATTCTTCTTCTTTTAATGGTATCAGAGCCTAGTTACTAAATATTTTACCTAAATCTTTGGTGAAACCCCAAGTTGCGTTTCTGTTATTGCCATTTAAGCCATTTATAGGCGTCTAAAGGTTGAGAAGTAAAGCATTGACAGTGATCCAAAGAAATGGATAAATTATTTGGAAACTTATCTAGTCTTTCTAGGAGTACAAGATTTAAATCAAGCCAAAGCAACGAAAATTTTAAAAATAAAAAATAAAGAAATATTATTATTAGAAGATATAGAAACTAGTTTAAATATTGAAAATTACCTACTATGTTCTCCAATATGAAATACAATTCTAATACTAACTTCTTGTTTAAAGCTGATTATGTGATTAAAACAATTGAGGAAGCTGTGCCTATTCATGAAGGATTTCAATACTTTAGTATGTTTTCTGAAGAATTAATAGCAAGGCATCAAGAAAAATATAATTTCCTCCATATTGGAATGGTTCAAGTGGCTTTGAAGCAAGCAACCAGGTTAGGGCTAAATAATGCAGCCATAATTTGTGTTAGAGATAAACGACATAATAGATTTAACGAATCCCTTCTTGGACTAGTTGAATCTACTTCATGTGACAGACCCATCTACTTCTCCTATTATCCGAACTTCACCCTTTCCCTAACGGATCCACATATAATGAAAGCCCTTTCTCTTGACATCAAAACTTTTGGTCATGATATGCTTCAAAGGTTAGAAAATATAATCGTAATTTAGAGGATTCATTATAAAGCTATGAATATTGTTATCCCTAATTTAAGGGAAGCAACAACAAACCCAATAACCCCAAAAGGAACTACCATACTCTTCCTCACGAATCTCTCAAAAGGAAACTTGGTAGTCTCGAGGTCCATTCAGTGGGATCAGGTAAACTTACTTGAAAATTGGATATTAGAAGAGGTTGTACCTACTAGAAAGGAAGATTCTACCGAAGTAAAATATATAGTGAAGGCCCCAGATGGTACAATGGCAATAACATTCTCTAGGGATAGAAGAGTTAATATAGGCCACAAGAAATCATTTTCAGGAATCCCTAGCATTCCTTATTCGGTTCCACCAAGAACATTGGTTTCTTCAAATTCAGTTAGTGGCCTAAACAGAATAGAAGAAAATGTAGCTCAACCAATTTATGAGGCTAAAAGTCCAACTCCTTCAGATATGGGCTATGATAGAGAAAGCATAGTGACAAGGCCATTTAAAATAATGGTCCTTCAAAAGGAATCATCTCCATTTGAAAAATGGTTCTAGATGAGCCTAAAAGATAATGAGCAGGCTTATTGGCTAAAAGAATACAAAGCCTACCAAGTCCTAAAAGGGACTAAAACTTTTCTTGAATTCTTACCACATGCTTTCTTCCTAAAAGGAAGAACATTCCCAAATTTCGAAAATAAAACTTTTCTCACCAACCTTGAGTCTGCCTATCAAAATTTCATTACTCCTAAAGAAAAAATTATCGGGAGTGTTTACCTCCTCTAACAAGTCTTTCATATCAAATAGAGCAGTCCTATGTAGAGTGTTCACTTTTTTCCCGAGGGAAGAGAAAGAGGGATCAATGATAAATATGCTTCATCAATAATACTTTGTAAATCTAAACCTCCATACTATTGGGCAAAAACTAAATACAGTGGATAATCAGCTAAATAGGTTGAAGGCGGTAGGGTATACCCCTAAAATTGAGGCTACTATTGGGCAAAAACTAAATACAGTGGATAATCAGCTAAATAGGTTGAAGGCGGTAGGGTATACCCCTAAAATTGAGGCCGCAATAAAAATAGGAAACACAGAAAAGAAAATCCTATTTAAACCTATGGAAGAAAAACTTAATCTAAAACTGGCTAAAGAAGATAAGTCAGAATTAATTGAAGAGTTAATCAAAAGGTTAGCAGGCTTAGAAATAGACTAAGAGAAAAAGGCTATAGCTCCTTTAAAACTGGAGTAAGAGTCAAATAAAGAACTATCTGGCTTATAATCACCTAAAGAAACATGTGAAGATTATCTAGAAGAACTAGAGGCTATGCTAAAATCAGCAGATACAAATCAGGTAAATAAAATAACCTACCCAAAGCCTTAGGTCGTGGTAGAAATGAACGTTATTACCTTAGGTCCTCTCTAATCAATATGCAATATGAAGAACCTGCATTTAATTATGTCTAATATGATGGTTCTTCTATTGTTGAGTGGAATATTGATGGACTATCCGAATATCAGATAAGGAATGTCCTTCAACACATGACTATGTATACTACGGCATCCAAAGTAAGAGGAAATTTAGACCCAATGGTAGCAAAAGCTATAGTTGCTGGATTTATAGGCAAGCAAAGGGTGGTGTGATTTTTCTCTATCTAAAGAAGGAAAAGACTAGATAGAAGGAGCTGTGAAACGGAAAGTAGTGAGAAGGCTAGGATATAAACTGGAAAGTAATTTGTTGTCCTTCTATCTCTATAGTTATCCCTTGTTTCGATATTTCTTGTATCAGATACAACATATGTAGAAAGGGATTTCCTGGAATGATAGGATGGGATAATCCTTTTACCATTAAGAATGGTATTTGAAAACGTATCCTTTATTGCAAAGAACAGTATTGTTCAATTTGCATTTTATCGCTATTTTACTACTATCTGCCGTATTTAATTCCTCTACAGTTTTAGAGAAATATCTAGAAGGTACTAATCCCTCATTTATGCAATTTAGATCCGCACCTGAATCAATTAGGGTGATGGTATGAAAGACATTCTTTAAGGACCACTATAGTAACTTTAGTGTGCCATTTATGGGTTATTACCACATCAACCAGATTGACATAATGAAGATTATTTACTTCACCTTCATTCAAAGGATATCTTTTTGATCTTTCTAGATCAATTTCATCTTTCTAGTTCTAACATTACTATTCTTTCTTTTAGGCTTTGCAACTCTAACATTACTAACATTACAATTCTTTCCTTCTTTTAGTTCTAACATTACTATTCTTTCTTTTAGACTTTGCAACTCTATTTTTACAGGGTCTAGTTCTGCTCTTAATTCTTTTATGGTGGGTTCTCGCTGCCTTTTAACATTTTTCACCGTTTCTAAAATTTCTTATAAATTATAGGGTGTTTCCCTCTCTTCCATTTTCTATTCAAGGGGTTCTTTAGAGGTAGATGCCTCTAATCTTTCTTTATTTAGATTTAACTAGTGTTCTAAATGGGCTCTTTTTTCTTCTGGACCTGTTATTTTATCTATTAGATCTAATAGCATGTTATCTTCTTTGGTTAGTGCCAAAAGCCCGTTCATGGCACATACTGATTTATAGTAATCATAGTTGCCATCACAATCCGAGTTTTTATCGAACTCGTATTCCTTGTCTGTAATTAAGCAATAAGTATACATAAACCAATAAGTACCTAGGTTATTAGTAAGTTGATATAAGCAAGTTAGGAAACATCACCTTATACCATTGTAGCTCTCTTTGCATCTGCAACGCTGCACCTGAGATGCCAGCAAGTCTATCAGGACGTGATAACTTTGCAGCCAGATGTAAAATGTTATTTTCAAATTTATGGGCTCCATTAATCAAAATGTACTTCCTCGTACCAAGCGCATATATAATGCTAAAAACATTTTCTCGCCGATAATGAACTGCATTCATAAAATGTACTTCCTCGTACCAAGCGCATATATAATGCTAAAAACATTTTCTCGCCGATAATGAACTGCATTCATAAGTACGTTTCTTGATTTTTTGTCGACAACAGTTAGCAGATTGGAATTGGCTTTAAGCAACTCAATTACAACTTCAACTACTCCATATTTAATAGCTCCAAAGAATGCATCATATATTCCATTTTCTTCAAATTTAGTGTCGTCAATAGAAGATGATATGTGTTTGGCCATCAAGTGCAGAAGTTCACGAGCATAGGCATGGCTCAATTTTCTATCATAAATCTGCTTCAGACCTAAACAAACCAAAAATTGAGGAACTTAATATATTAATCGAATTTAAATTGATAATGTTTTTACTTATAGATAAATTTTGAAGTGTACAATTGGTTTATAAATAATAGTATTATGCTTACTTATATATAAATTTAGATAAACCAAAAAACAAATAGCTAGCGATAAAAATTAGGAGTAGCATACCAAAAAATTCTAGTAACTTCAAACTGAGACTTGGCATTTCAACCATCCCTGAAAAATGAAAACAACTCCGTTAAACAATGAAAGCAACAATTTTTAAAAAAGGGAAAAAAATTCAACTTTTGTTGCTTGGCAAAGCTCCATACAATGTACATATATATAAACTACTACTTAAAGATAGCTTCCTTTGAATTCCTTTGAAGTTTGAACACCTTAATTATTTATTTTTTGAAAGACTAGTCATGTACCCATGTGATGCATGAACTGTGTAATTTTTTTAATTTTTTCAATTAAATTGAATGTAATTTTCAAGAAAATTATTGTCATTTATGTTTGTGTTGTTTTAATTTAAATAATTTGCTTATTTATTTTTAATTAAAAAATGAAAAATAAGATTATAGTTTTTTTAAAATTCTCAAATAATGAACTGAAAGATTAATTAGCATAATTAATTATTGTAAGTAAATTATTGTAATTCAAATGATACAGTAAATTAATTATTTTTTTCTTTAAAATTCTCATATATTCAAATTAGATGAGGTATAAGAATAATTGATGTTAATGAAATAAATTTTAGTGAATTGAAATTAAATTGAAAATAAATTTTAGTGAATTGAATTAATAATTTTAATTCTAATTTATTAATGTTAGTTTGCATTATTATTTATTTTATTAAACCTATGACTTCTATTATACTCCATTAATTTTACTCTATTATAACTCCATTAATTTTTTTATTGAAAAAAACTATTTAATAAAAACTTAATATTTATTAAATGTAAAAAAATATTAATAATAATCAAAATCATCTAAGTTTGTAACTCCATTATTTAATAGAAAATTTTAATTTTTATTAAATGCAAAAAGATGTTAATTATAAAGAAAAAGTAAAATGCCACATAAATATTTATATTTTAGAAATTACATTTATAGATATAGATAGATATAGATAGATATATTGCCACATCATCAATTGTACTTTTGATGACATTTTTAGATTGGTTAATTTGAATATACTACATTGGTTTTGTTAATGTTGACACTTTTTGACTTTTTCTTCTTCTATTTAGATGATAGTTCTAGAAAATCAATATGGTATTAATTGTTTTATTTCAACTTTCCTCTTGTTTAGCTAATTCAATTTTTTTTTTAATTTCTGTGAACAGTCAACAAAAAATATGAAAATTAACAAAATAAATATAATAACACATCAACAGAATATTGTTTACTGTCTTCATTACATTAAATTTGATAGTTTTTTACTTTTTATGAGAATTAAAAAACTGTCAGTTTTAATGAAATCGATGGAGTAATTGTTTCCTCGTAGGCTTTAATTATAAGCTTTGAGTCGCAATAATTTAAAGACCGGTAATAGTACTTTGAACCAAAAGCTCTTCGATAAATTATGGTTTATCTCATAATTTGGTGTTTCTTTTAGAGTGAGAGAGGTGTACACCTTGCCTGACATGATCATCATTCTCTGGAATGGCAATTCGAACATCACCAGGGGTAGGGCCAGCAGGTAATTCCACAGGAATACCTTCCATAAATTTGAAAAATATCAATTACATGAAATAATTATTATATTTATTTAGAAATTCAATATTATTATATTTATTTAGAAATTCAATCCGAAACCTAAGTTTTTAAATTCAAAAACCTACAATCTTTAAAACAATTTTGCAATTAGTCTGAAAGAAATAAACGACGAAGAAAGCAAATACTGAAAAAAAAAAAAAAAAAAAAAGGAAAAAAAAAAAAAAAGGAAGATAGAGAAGAAGTACTAACAGGAATATATCCATCGTTTCCAAAAGACATATCGGTTGCCGCTCGGGAACAAATGACTCAGACCAGAAAATTGGTCTAGCGGTGTGTTTCCAAGTTGTGTTCGTGTCGTGGCTAAGCTTGGGCCACGCTGCAGCAAATCCAAGGATATATCTAACACAAATAAAAAGATTTAAATGAAGGTTTATAATAAGAAAATGAAATTTTAGTTTGCTTCGAACTCTTGCTTACCAAACATTTCTCTGAAAAATGAGACTACAAGAAGAGAAGAGCCGAAGGTTCCATTTTCCGGAAGCAGTATATCAAAAGGAGTGACAGAATATAAATACTGAGTTGTTTCCTTATGGCCATTATTACATGCCACTGTTACTGGGAGATCATCGTCTGCAATAGTAACTAAATCCATGGTCTTTCTCAGCATGCATTCAGCAATTTTTGTTGCTCCAGTAGCAGCAGCGCCAATAAGAGCAGTCTCATTCCGCTTGTCAACCGCAAGTACGTCTTCTACTGACATTAACTCCACCAAAAACTCCACAATATTTAAGTTTCCAGTCATTGTTGCAAGATGAAGCGCTGTTTCACCAAAACCTGTAACCTTTCTGTGCACTGCATCTGGGCAAAGATTAACGAAGGTTTTCACAGCATTAAAATCACCTTTATCTATAGCCTCTCGTAATGGCTGAAACTGAAGGTACTCGTCCTTCTCTGTTCCTGTCATATTTTATCAACTTATTATACCTCTCGTTCCATTAAACACTTTTGGATTTTCAATTAAGAAAATATTAAATCATCTTAGTTCTGGAAAGGAAGACTTTTTTTGGCTGAAAGAATGTATTAGGAAAATATCAAATGATATTTTTTTTCCAAGCCTACGTCAAATTTGTATTTTTTTTTTTAATTTGAAATATATTTTAACATTTTCCTTCATTTTTTTTAATCCAATTTTTTTTTTCCTCTCCTTCCAAACAAAGCCTAAAACTCTAACTTCTCTTCCATTTTATTCCCATTGTCTCTTTTGCTTCACTTTAATGAACTTTCCCTCACCCCCATCCAAACTAGAGCCCAATTTCACGGCAGTATGGATATGTTTGGATAAGCTTAATTAATCAATTAAGTATGAGCAATTGTTTGATAAAGCCCTTTTCTACAGGTAAAAATTAAAAAATATTACCTTCATCTACCGATTCTGTCTGTGATTCCACGTCTGTGATTCAATTCCTGATGAGCCCAATTTTCAGTATTCTTGTTTTTCCGATGACGCCAATTCAGTTTCTTGTTCCTGTGTTTGGTCTTTTGATGACTTTCTCTTATTCATTTTGGCTAAAGTTTTCCAGCAAACTCTAGCAGAATCAATGTATCTGATTTGGGAAAGTTTGTCTGGTAGGCATGAAATTTGAATTGCATGTAAAGCAGCTGCATTCTTCTTTCTCCATGCATTAAATTCACCTCTATCCTCCTTCTCACTAGGAGGTTTAGTGGTTGCTTCAACAATATCCCAAAGGTCGTTGGCCAACAAATAGTTCTTCATGCAAGCACTCCAGTTTGCATAATTGGAGTCTCCTAGAAATTCAGGAACAATATTTGATGATGCCATGCTCAAATCTGTCAATTATGAAAAGCAATGTTAAAAGGTTAGATTAAAAGAAGCTAATCTACGAAACAAGCCAATTACCTTTCTTTGCCAGAGTGAATAGTTCAGAAATATTATCTCAAAAAGACAGTATTTTTCATTGGTTTGATCATGGGTGGGTCCATAATCCAGTCAAACAATTAGCTCAACTGTTTAATGCCTGAAGCAAGAATTTGATGCATGCTTGAGTTATCACGTCATTGAATGTTAGCAACATTAATGTTGTCTAAGCTTCATTTTACATTGTCTGAACAAAGATTAATATTAACATGTTCAAAAACTTCAAAGTTTAGACATAATAATGAAATCAAAAGCTTAGATGCCTGTGTTCCGAAGAATGTTGTTTCTTAGATGCCTGTGTTCCGAAGAATGTTGTTTGCAGAAAGTAACAGGAAGAAGTATATAAAAGAGAGAGGAGAAAAAGAAGAGGCACATACACATCACAAGAACCAACTAAATAGTGAGCAGACTGAATGCAATAAACTTGGAAGGATAGGTAGTTGTAATGTGTTTTAGTAGTGTAATTCTTCCAACCGAACTCGTTAAAGCTGTAAGCTCAATTGCTTGGGAATAACAATTATTGACGCATATGATCCCACCAAAAAGGAAAAGTTCAATGGAATTAAATGCTTTCACTTTTCTTCTTTCCTTTCTTTCTTTCTTTTTGTTTTTCGCTTTTTGTGTTCCATCAATTGGAGGATTACAAATAATTGATTCACCACGTAGGTACTTAACCAAAGTGTTCACCAATTCAGCTTTTTTGCTTTTTTTTTTCAACTTTTTTGCTTCTCTTATCTTTTCATATACAATTAATTGATTGATTCGTGTCCACTTTGTTGCTATTTCTTTTTTTCTTTTGAGTGCACGTATCTCATCCATGAGATTGGTAATGGAGTTACTATTGGTTTTAAATGGAATAAAACGTGCAATGGAATCGATATTATAATATTTTTTTAACCAACGGAATCACGTTTAAATGATTAAAATAATGAATAATTAATTTAAAATAATACTTATTATCAAATCTTTCATAAGTAGAATTAGAAACTTGTTATTCACTGGATTGTTATAATTCATAAACCGTTTAATTGTATAGTCTTTAAAAATATCCTCAACGGATTGACAATGAAAAAAAATATAAAATTATTTTTAGAGAATTTAAAAAGCAGAAAGTATTTTGAATTCTAACTCAAAATACGCTCATATTATTTTGGTGGCTATAAAAGTCAAGTCTACACTCCATATAAGAGACTATATATAGAGGAATGCGAGGAATGCGGGAAGTACTCATAATATATCCTAGTTAGAAATTATTAATTTAATCAATTAAATAAATAAATTATAATTAATTCACCTTTTAAAAATTATTAATTTAATCAATTAAATAAATAAATTATAATTAATTCACCTTTTAAAATATCTTATATTTAAACCCAATAAGTTTTAGAAACGTTTATTCTAAGTCCCTATTTAATATTTTAGATCAAAAATTATATTTTTTTACAAAATTTTACTTAAAACTTATTTTTAATCAAATCCAACTTGATTTAATTTCTCATTTTTAATTTTTCATATCAATCCTTATATATGTGACCCATTATGTTCCAAATATAATTAATTAAATTTATATTTGAAAGTTCAAACTGATATCCAAATATTTGAAAAGTCTATAGTAGGTTGACTTAACCTTTTAGTGAATGATCTCTCAATATATTTAAGATCTATTCATCAATAATATTTTGATTTATTTCATTTAAGCATGGAACATGTCTGGTAAGTTAAATTATATTAATTCTTTTAGATTTTTTTAGGCCAAATTGTTATTGATTCACTGAATAAGTTTTCAAATCCCAATTTACTAATTTGATTTCATCTTGTGCAAGGAAATTTCATCTTGTGCAAGGATTTCATGATCAATACTAGTAGAGAACAAGTGAAAATTTTTCTCTAATTTACATAGGATGATGAACCCATCTTGATCACTCAGGTCACTTTATACAATTTCTACTATTTTCCATTCTTTTCCATTTGTTATCTTAAATAGAGTACAGTGTAGATGGATCAAAACATAGTAGTCCCTAAATATGATAACTTAATAATCTTAAGTTGAAAGCTGACTTACACGACCATCACTTGAGTCTTTTATAGGCATAGGTAGTTTTCTATACGAAATTCTTATGTGGATTAGTTTATTGAACTTATCCTTACACAAGCACCTGTACATTAGTTATGGGTAGGAATGGAAGCGGGGCGGGTATCCACGAGTTTTAAGCTATCCATATCCGTTTCCATTTAAAAGTTTAATATCCAAATCCATTCCAAATCTGTTTAAATATCCATTTAAGTACCCATATCTGAACCGGTTTAAATTTTTACTATTCGTACCCATCTAAAACCCGTTTAAATTACTCTTATATGGGAAGGATACCTACGAATTTTAAATTATCCAAATCTTAACTTATTTAAAATACAATTTTTATTAATAGTGGATAAGATACGCGTTTAATATAGCCGGTAATGAGCAGTGGGTACCCAATGACCGTACCTTATCCGTATGCATAATAAGTAGTAATTTCACTATTCATACATGTCTTAAACCCATTTATAACTACTCATATCTTCTTTAAATGGATCGGAGTGGGTCGAATAACCTAAAATACCCGCATCGCTTCCATCCCTAGATATGGGTATCTCATGAACCTCAACTTATGAGAACAACTATTTCCTTTCATAAAGGAAATAACATAATATGTATCGGTCTCAACGTCTCATCACCATCCAATATTAATATAGCATTGACTAGAAATATTTAGGAACATTACTTTTGATGCCATAAGAATCTCAGAATTATAACCATATTATAATTTCTTTTGCAAAGAAATAGTGTCCCAAGAAATTTATCTTTAATCAAGGTTCATTAATTGAATATTAAAGATAAATAATGCTTTTCATTAGTTAAATAAAATTGAAAATATGACGTGCATGTGCAATCATCTGATTGACTGTAGGATATACAAACTAACAGTTACTTTGCTTTTTCATTTTTTTTTTTCATTTGAATAGAAAAAAAAAATAGTTCTCATCCATGAAATCGATTGGAAAGGACTATATAATCAATTACCAAAAAAAACATATATCATAATTGGCATCAAATACCTTTTGACCCAGTTTAAAAAGTGATTTCTACTACAGATGCATGTTTTGGCATCAAATACCTTTTGACCCAGTTTAAAAAGTGATTTCTACTACAGATGCATGTTTATATTGATATTAAACTTATTTAAAGTTTATTAAGATTGCTAATAAACTAATTAAAAATTTTGAAAATTGTTATAAATACTATATTAAAATATAGATGTCCATTAAGTTTATTAAAGAAATTATTTATCCTCTCCATAAATCATCTCCTTTGGAACAAAGAGTTATATCCTTTAGGATGAATAATTGTATCCTTTAATAAGTAAGGTTATATCTTATAGGATGAAAGGTTATATCCTTTAGTGTGTAAGGTTATATCTTTTAGATTGCATTTTGTATCCTATAAATAGTTTTTAAAATTGCATTTTGTATCCTATAAATAGTTCCTTAATCCTATACATGGTAACTAAGATTCTAGTACAATGCATGGTAACTAAGATTCTAGTACAATGATTCAATTTCTCTCTATATTTTATTTACTATATGTTTATATATATTCTCTATTTATTATATTTTATAACATGTTATTAGTACGATTTCATTCTACTGCTTTGAATTCGTTCTACCACTTTGTTGATCAAAATACTTAGAGAGAGGATAACTTGTTGTTTGCGAATTCCAAAATTAAGATTGCTGTGTTTAACTTATTTACACTCAAAAGGTAATTATCTATATGTTCTTGAAAATTATATTATTAATTATAAAACAATATAATTTATGGTGATAGGAAATAAAAATTTTAGTTTTGTTTCTTTCTTTC